AGTTTACGCCCACTGTTGTGTCGTGGATTGATTCAACTCCAGCACGAGTAATGCGACCCTCTTTCTCCTCAAGATTCCGTTTGAAACAAGGGCCACTGAAATGAAAATGGGCGCGTTGGATTGTTGCATAAAAACACCAACTCAGAAAAAGCGGCAAACGTCTCAATAAATTTTCGAGGAAAATAATCCCGCTCCGTGAGCCTGTTTTTTCTAAACAGTTGTAACTTGGACAAATAATTTTAGGGATCCATTCGGGGAAGAATTCGTCGGACTTGCAGCGCCGAAGCTCGCCATCATCTCGATCAGGATGCGCATCGGCTATTACCGGCTCACCGCGCGAGCTTTCTCCTCCACTGCTTCAGGTTTACTTCCCTTCAGAAATGTGTAATGGACAGCACCCCAATCGGAAAGCCAAGATGCACTGCTGCTGTGGTTCTCAAAATTCAAGGACAAATCCCCTCTTCCGCAAGCGGTCTGGCTTTACAGTTTAAAATTCCAACGAGTCGTGTCGAACGGACAGAGTAAAAGGAAAAATTCGGTTTGCAGCTCAACAAAAAACACCGTATTTTTTTGGTCCTTTTCCAAAGCATAAAAGTTTATCACGTGGAAAAGGCAAAACATTTATTTCCAAAATTGCACGAAAATGCTAGATACAAAATATTCGTTTTGAAGGATATTTTATGATTTAGACGGAACTCAGTGGGACATCTGCGAATCGTAAATACAGGATTGGGAGTTGGAAGTGATGAAGAAGTGACAAAGGCTAATTCGGAAACTTTTTAAAATACTGGGGGCTTGAAGAAACTGAGCAAATCGGGGACTTTTTTTATTAGAGATGATTAAGTCTGACGATTATTGCTTTCCTTTTCCCCGACTTCAGCTTGAGACAAACAGTATTACTAATAGTAGCTTGCAGGAGCTAGCTTGCATGAATCTCCGCGAAATGGCCTCGCGCCCTGACGTTGGACACGCCGGTCGTCAAATCCTCGTCCGTTCGAACTTCTTCGAAATCGATATCGCGGCCAGTAATTTAATTGTGACACAGTATCACGTGGAAATTCATCATCCGGGTTCCAGGCGTCTCGATAGGTAGCAGTTTTTTCTAAATTCGTCATTTTTTTGTGCTCGTATTTAAAACCGACTTTCTGGAAATCAGCTAGAGTATCTCCGTGACATGACTAACATAGGACACCCACAGTGATGCCTGGGCGATCCACATATTCTTGGATTAGAGATAATAATT